GACTTGATGTTGTCTGACAGATGGAGAAAAGGGCCACTCAGAAAGACCAGGGGAAACGTGGGAGTGATCGACGATTGTTCCGAGTAATGTGTGTGCTGGGATGTCCTAGAGCCTTGTGGAAGCACACTTCTCGACTCTCGTTTTGAGGTGATGGGGATGCTGATATAACAATAACTCATGGCTTGCCACGCTTTCTATTCTTACATTCACACATCTCCTGGAGCTTCCCCTTCGTGTTGGCGGGATCCTCCAAGCTAGGCCCCGGTCCCTGGCATGAGATCATCGCACAAGAACGCTGTGTAACATTACTGCTTGCTCGCTCAGCTAATGAGATCAGAGAAACTGGGAAGATATTTTAACAACGAAAACGGGGTGCAGATGGACTCGAGATGAGCACACATGCGTGCAACGAGAAAAGGAAACCCCGCGATCAGAACTGTGAGTGCTCTGGGGATACCATAACACTAAACACTCTTGCATTGAGGGTGAGAATACACCTATAAAAGAGCCTGCTGTTGATAGAAGCATGGTGAGGCCTGGACTTTTGAGTTCTCTACCAACCTCTGGATGTCAAAAAGCGAGAAGTAGAGAGAGAACGTGAACCGAGTTGTCTCGGGAGAGAAGACGGGAAGAGTTGGTGGTACAATTGCTGACATGCGTGGTTGTGCTACACGAAACTGGGGTTGGTGTCACGGTATTGGAGGGCCTCAGGGGACGATCGGAACATCGCGATACGCGTTGTTTGTTTCTTTTTACGGAAACAGAGAGCTCGAGATATGCTATCATAGTGTGGTCAACTCTAGAGTTGACAAAGCATGTTGTCGACGGTCAAGCATGTTGTCGACGGTCAAGTTTGTTGTCGACGGTCAAGTTTGTTTGTATACTCGAGAGGTGGCATCTATCTCAATGGTGATATTGGAACACAATCTGAATGCTGCAGTGGCGAGGCCCCTTTCCAGCCGGGGAGAAAAACGTGCACTTGAAACGTACTCAACCCCGGCGCAGAGCTGAGTTCAGTCCTTGAACAACTCCTTGCAATCGCATCCCGTTATGCATGGATCATTTCCGTTTCCACCTCGTAAAGAAGCAGCCTCGATATGCTCAGACCAGGCAAAACGGCTGAGGATGAGACATCTCGTGTTCGCAACAACGGCCAACAACCCAAATATCCAAGCTTATAAGGCCTTCGATTTCCCAATGGAAGATGTCCCCCAGGCAGAGCTAATCAGCTTCATCTTCTCGCCATGATGGTGTCCTTCCTCCTCATCTGCCTCCATGCAGCTCTTGCTCTCGCAGCCTCTACTTCACCGGCCAACACATCAACTGCCCTGAACAACTGTCTTGCCTCCAAGAAAGTTCCCTACATTCGCCCCAACTCAGCCCAATGGACTCAAGAAGTCAGACCTTACAACCTTCGTCTGGCCTACACTCCTGCTGCTATTGCACTGCCTACCACTGTTGATCATGTCCAAGATGCCGTCAAGTGCGGTAATCAGTACCAGGTACGAGTCAGCGCCAAAGGTGGCGGTCATAGCTATGGTTCCTTCGGCTATGGAGGCGAGAATGGCCACTTGGTAATCGTGATGGACTCTATGGACCAGGTTACGTTGAACAAGTACATGAGTTGTAACATCCAGGCTGGTGCTCGGCTTGGACATGTTGCTACTGAGTTGTATAAGCTTGGTCAGAGAGCTATTCCGCACGGAAGCTGCCCAGGGTAAGAAACGCACTTTGATCAACTATGTACAAAGACTAACAGAGATAGTGTTGGCATTGCAGGCCACGCCCTTCATGGAGGTTATGGCTTCGCCTCACGAACCTACGGCCTCACACTGGACACTTTCATCGGCGCAACCGTGATTCTTGCCAACGGAACACGAACTTACGCTGCAGATGGTGAAGGCGGAGATAACCAACTCATGTGGGCTCTTCGCGGCGCAGGATCTTCTTACGGGATCGTGGTTGAACTCGACTTCCAAACGATCAAAGCACCTGATACAGTCACGCCGTTCAGTATTGAACTGGACTGGAATGAGAACCAGGCTATTGAGGGATTGATTGCGTTCCAGAAGTTTGCTGTGAACGCACCGAAGCAGTTGAATATGCAGATCTACATTGGGCCTTCGGGACAGACCATTCAGGGTGTTTACTATGGAACTAGGGCGGCTTTGAATAACGCGCTCAAGCCTCTTCTTGGAGACATTAAAGCGCAAATCTCTGCCTCGAGTACTGGAGGCTGGATTGAGGGACTGAAGGCCTATGCTAACGGCCAGACCCTCGATCAGAGACGTCCATACGACCAGGTCAGTAATTGCACTCACTCTCATCATTTTTACCACTAACAACCTCATAGCACAGCACATTCTACAGCACAAGTCTCATGACTATAGCCCTCACCCGATCCCAAGTCAAGTCCTTCGTCAGAACACTCTTCGACAACATCAATGACCGCGACGCTCGACACTCATGGTACATCCTAATTGATCTCTTCGGCGGTCCCAACTCCGCCATCACAACCGCCGGCTCAACCAACAGCGCATTCCCACATCGTGACAAACTCCTCCTCTTTCAGTTCTCTGACCACGGGAACTACGCTACTCATGCAAACAACGGCTTCACGCTGCTCAAGAGATTCAGAGAGAGTATCACCAAGACTATGGATGATTCTCAGTGGGGCATGTATGCGAACTACTTGGATACGCAGTTGGACAATCTGGATGCCGTTGAGCAGTACTATGAGTTGAACTTGGGCAGATTGAGGGAGCTCAAGAGAACGTATGATCGGAATGACATGTTCTGGAACCCGCAGGGTATTCGACCAGCGACGAGAGGCTGAGAAGACCACGAGTGTAGTGCACTGGAGGAGACCGGTATTGCCGTTCTTTGTACATAGCTTCAACTTGACTTTGCCAAATAGCTAAAACTGTATCAAACTGGACCTGCGTCAGTTGTGGATGGATGTTCCTACTGTAGTTCCCCATATTGATGGTGTATCGAAAATCAGGAGTCTAATCCTGTGTATCTCGCTGTGGTGTAACATTCAGAAGGTATGGGATGAAGGACTCAGGGCCTATTTGACCGAGAAGATACTCCAGAGTCAGAACTGCCACCAACGTTCTATGATCCTCGAATCTTGAGCCTTCTTCAGCGTTTCCACCATTGCGGCTCTACACCTTGTGGAGGGGCCACCCGAGCTTCCTCATGAAAGATGCTGACCCTCGGAGAACTAAACCAGGAAAGAGAAGGATGGCTACCAGATAGAACTTGTTCGAGACCAGGCAGGAGAGCAAAGCTGGCAGCAGAAAACAGGAAAGCAAGGACATCACAAGAGGTGAAGACAACATCAAAGGTAGGGCTTACGGTTATCTCTTTTTCTTCTAGAACTTGAAAAGAGTCATATTGTTTACTAAAGCTAAATCTAAAGTCCATTGTGTTATAACCAGGTGAGATAGGACTGCTTACGAGTAGTGAGACGAATAACATGGCTTTCTTCTGGCATCTTTCCATTTCTGTCGTGGGCAATCTCCAAGAGCAACCCATAGGGACTCTATCCTGATGTCTCATGTGTTACTGTTGTGGAGATGAGACTGCATATGCCGAGCTAGCTGCTCGCTACCCACTGTTCGTTGCTCCCAGTGTAGCTGCTGCCCTGGACTTGTTCGATCCTCCTTCGTCCCAACGCAAAAAATGGACCACCAAGGCGTCGCGGACTTCATCAACGTCCAAATTCACGAACTAGCGGCATCAAGCCTCCCTTCCTGGCTGTTAAATCCCGACCACAAAGGGATATGCGGAAATGAAGACATCTACACGGAGTTAATTGATCGATATCCCTTGCACCTTACCTTGCCCCAGGACTTATCGATATCTTTCATACGTTCAAAATGCCATCTAAGGAGCTCTTCACGAATCTGCCTGGTATAACTACTGAGGCCATTTGGGGAGTTTACTGTCTGTGGTTTATAAAGCCTATTATGGGTCTGGTATAGATGCAGTCTAAGGAGTTAAATCAAGAAGTGAGTCTTATAACCCTAATGGCAGAGCACTTCCTTCTTTTGTCGATCGGGCTTTTAATGATGGCTTATATTGTTTTGCACTCTGGGCTTCTTTGTTGGATATCACTCCCTGAAGATGGCGATGCACCTTGACTACGCTCTTGCTCTGCCTTAAAGAGGGGCATTCAACCCTTATCTTCCATGCCTGCTTTGCAATGAGCTCTGACTTCTACCTTGCAGAATTCATCATCTGGCCTCGAAAAGATGCCTCTGGGGAGCCCCTGTGCTCTCATTCGCCCTGTCTGATCTATCTAAGTATGCAGTCGTGCTTTCGATGTCGAAGTCTCTGTGACACCAGGGTCAATGCCTGAACCACTCTCACGACTCCTATCGGGCCGTCCCAGGCCGCCCGTCTATACTTCCCAATCTAGCTCTCTAGAAAACTGTCAGGCAAACCGCCACTGTCCTGTCACTCCAGAGACTTTTCTAAGTATAGTAGATGGTCTGGAGAGTGATTTTGGGTCTTACTTCGGCTTCATCATCCATGGGATGCCGAGAATGGAGCAGTATCCATCATTGAAAGCTTTGCCTGAGTGAAACGGAAAATGTTGCCGACAAAGAGCAGCACATTCCGACCCTCTTCACTGAATTTCTCAGCCAGCGTAAGCTGTAATTATAATCAGTTAAAGTTCAAAAAGCCATGTCAACTTGGAATCTGAAGCTGTGATGGCAGAGGCAGCTCGCCGCTTATGTAGGGAAGTTGCCAAGTGTCGATCAAGAGACCACTGATTAGGGAAAGGCTTACTACATGGAGTGCAGTGGAATCTGCCGCTGGTTCTTCAGGCTCTGAGCACACATAGATAGAGGAGCTAACTGTATGCCGGCAGCCCTTTTCGTGTGTTTTTCGGTGTCCAGGTGTGCGTCAAGGGCGGCCTGGGACTTGGAATGGCTCCTCGCAAGTGTCATGTGCAAAGCGATTTGTAAATTTATCCTTCTCTCGGACTTTCAAAGCACTTTGTCGGGGTTCTTCAGACTCCAGGACTTCTTATCAGCAGTAACGCGCTGCTCATATGCGATTGGATCCTCGGTCTGTCGTCTAGAGCGGTGCCTGCGGGATTTCTCCAGGTCAATGTCGTGAGCTCGTTCGCGGCGCAGAGCAGCGTTGATTTCCAGTAACTCGGGTGGGAGGCGAATACCCCCACGGATCGCTTCTTTGAGGGCGTGGGGAGAACTGGGAGCCGACCCAATGCATGAAAGCATTGGGATAGGGTCATTGGGGTTGATGCTGGTTTGATGCGCAGACCAAGAACTGCACCGAGAAAGCCATGAATGATGGGTTGCAGTAGAGGGCTGCGTTAAAGACCTTAGCGTAACTTTGAATCGAGTCGTCCAGATCTCCAGGTCCTTCCATAGGTTTGTCATGAGAAAGCAGCTTCCGTACACGGACTATATAATGTACTGTCCATCCAGTTGGTGTCCCTTGTCGAGAGCATCTGAGGCAAGGAATACGCTCCATACGACGATGGAAACTCCTATATATCCGCCTTCTTTGTGACCACCTATCGAACGGAAGGAAAGAGTATCTCACGGCTCTGGAGCGAGTTTATGTCGGATCCGCGAACCTTGATCTCCATTCGCGTGTGAAAGGTTTGTCACGCGGCTCCTCGGAATTCAGCACAGAACGCATACCCATGGAGAGCGGCGATGTGACGAAAAGAGCAGTGAAAGCGGCATGGCAGAGCCACAGTTATCGCAGGGCGCAAGAAGATCGTCGGAAAGGAAGTCGTCAGGAAAAGGGCTATTGTCCGCCTTGCATATCTGATAGACTATGCCTCTCGCGCTCCAAACGATGGTGAGTTGAATGTTAACTTGTGTCATGAGCAAAGTTTTGGGCAAAGCCGGCGATGAAGAGACTGCGGAAAGATGAAGAAATGGTGTTTGATCTGTATAGGTTGGGGAGGTGAGGAAAAGCAAAGTGAGAGGCAGTGCCCCTTCGGCACGCAACCAACAACGTCTGAGAAAATAACACCACCACAATATCACGAGAGCACCTGACAAAGGTTCAAAGAATACCATCAGAAAATATTTGCACAAAGGCCAGAGTAATCGAGATCGGACATGATGGACTTGCTCTCAGCCAGGTACCTACTTACCTGTTTGAAGATTGCAAATCTACCACAAATTGATGTACCGCCGTCTCAAGAATCTGCACTGGCTGATTGGGGAAAGCCGAAACTCGTCGGATCTCTCCCGCAAGATTGACTGTAGTATATGGCCATTTAACATCGGCCTACTGTCTGTCCGGCCTCGGGTTTCCCTTAGCAAGAAGGAAAAGCAACGTAAGATGACTTCCAATGAGCAAATCCACCACGGAACTATCACGCTGTCTGATGTACTGAACGGCATCTGCCGTGTTACAATCTGAGTCTATCATAATTTAGTTTGAGTATGTAGTCTCATAGGTTTGTAGTGCTCGAGTGAATTGGCGATGGCCTGGGCGCCGCTTCAATCGAGGTTTGAGAGGATCAATACTTTGAAGTCATGTCAAGACGATTATGAGTTGCTAGCGACATTACGAGAAGCCATAGAAGGGATCTTGTCAAGTCAGCCAGTACGAACCCAAGCTGTTTGACTTGTTTCGTATCGGGTCAAGACAGCTCCAATCACCAATTCACCCCATCACATCACAAACTCGACTTTGATCATCCCACGTCTTCTATTACACATCTATCATAAACAAGTACACATAATTCATCCGTATATACATCTAGTTATTTTCAATCATCGTCTTCAACTCGGCAAACTTGACCGGCTTGGGCAAAAACAGGTCCACGCCCGCCGACATGGCATCCAGCCTCGCATCCGCGCTCGCCAGCCCCGTCAGCGCAAACACCGTCGTCCGCGGAACCTTGTACTCGGCCTCGAGCTTGCGGATCCTCTTTGTCGCCTCGATGCCGTTCATGACGGGCATGCTTATGTCCATCAGGATGTAGTCGAAGCGCTTCTTGACGGGTGCTCCTGGTTCTGCATCGCCGATTGTCGACTTTTTAAACGTATCGACGGCCTCTTCTCCGTTCTCGGCTTCCTCGTAGGAGAAGCCGCACTTCTTCATGAACATTGTTAGGAGGTTGAGGTTGATCTTGTTGTCGTCGACGAGTAGGACGTGTGCCTTGCCCGGCATTTCTGGCTTCTTTTGTTTTCGTGTATTTTGCGAAGACTTATTGTTCACCTCCTTCCTGAACTCATCATTACTCTCCTTCTTTTCGTTATTTTGGCCATTTTTCCGACTGTCGTTTTTTGGGTGGCTCTGTTCTTCCTTTCCTCGAGGTAATGGCGACGTAGTTGTCTCAGCCCAATCGCGTTGGTTGTTTTTATCTTGATGTAATTTCGAGTTCATCTGTTCTGTTGCGTCCTCTCTGTCCGGAGTGTTCTGCTCGTTTGGCTGTTTGCCATCTGTCTGCGCACTCCGGATGGGATTTCTGTTGTTATCATCTTCTCTGACCTCCCCAATCCTGTTCAGGCATCGGCTGAATACCTGGGCGAGCTTTCTAGGGCCACATCTAAGTACACGTTAGCATCTATACGACATTGCGCGCGGCCATGGCTTACGGTTGTGGAATGACTTCAACCACATCTGACAATCTGGCTAATGCCTTAGTCTGAGCTCTCGATATCTTTGCCGCTTCCTCTTCGTTCAGACTGATGATGATGATGGGGGCTTTCTTATTGCGACCTCCGTCTATCGCAGTCTCTTCAAAGCGCTTCTCGAGAGTTTTTGCAGACGGAGGTTCACAATAGAGATAGAAATCGGCTTTGGGTACATCTGTATCTACCTCTCTTGCAGCCTTCATGTTGAACCAACTCGAGAAGATTTCCATCAAGGCTTCGTTGCGCACCTCAACTTGTTTAGTAATAGTTTTCGAATGGAAGTCCTCGCTTGCTTCCAGGAGCACCAAAGACCTTCCCCGAAGTTGTTCAACCATAGATGCCATAGGCTCTTCCGGCTTCGGGCTCTCTTGAGGAACCGGCTCGAGACGGAGTCGGACTTCAATCTCAGTACCCTTATCCTGTTCCGACTTGACCTCGAGCGTTCCTCCAAGTGAATCCACAATCTGTTTAACGATGCTCAGGCCTAGACCGGTGCCGGGTTGGAAGGAATCTTCCTGGCTAAAAGGAACAAAGAGACGGTTCTGTTGGAAGTCCTCCGACATTCCTTTTCCGGTATCCGTGACTCGGATCAAGACATCTATTCTGGAATCGCCGCTGATCTCTTGCGCCCGTACCGAGACAAGTACAAAGCCTAACGCTGTGTACTTGAGCGCGTTACCGAACAGATTCATGACAATTCTTCGAAGGGCGCCAGGCTGTGTCTTGACCATCCATGATGCCCTCGGGCTAATATCCAGAAGGATTGATACAGGATGATCGGTTCCTGGTTCTGGGGCTACTTGGCTAACCTTGCCACCCAATATTGCATCGTCTTGTTGCTTCTTGGGAAGCCTTTTGAAGTTGTGACCAGTTGCCACGGCGTCGACAACCTCCTCGACAAGAATGGAGAGGTCTACTGAAGCTGTCATATTTAGGCTCTCCATGGAATCAGAAGAGAGGCTAATGACCTTGCTGTGCTTTGCACCCTTCCTTAAATGCCCGCTGCCGAGATTGTTTATTTTGCTGAAGTCAAGCACGTGATTCAAGGTATCGAGAAGTGTCTTGCCACAAGTCGCGATCGAGTTGACGAGGCCGGCTTCATACGAGTCGGTTACTGCGTCTTTGAGGAACTCAGCAGCGCCCAAGATGCCATGTAGCGGACTTCGTAACTCGTGACTCATACTGGCGATGAATGTGGTTTTTGCTGCTTCATTCTTTCGTGTATTTATTCGTCCGACTTGACTGGTGATGCTATTGCCGAAAGCTCGTAGGTAGGAAAGGTCCTCATCCAAGTTCATCATGCGACCCGGCACCGACGTCCAAAGGAAACACCCACCAACTAGTTTATCTTCGACATAGTCAAACAATGGCAAGAAGACAACGGCTTTCGCCCCAGGAATCTTCTTAAGGAGTTCCTTGTGATCAATCTTCTCTTTGCGCCGCTTACTTCTCCCGGCGGGAGCAGGGCTACCATCGCTCGCACTATCGTCATCAGATGAAATACCGGCCCCTTCTTCTGTAAACGTAAACGCCTTTCCTTTAGGAAAGAGTGAAAAGTATTTCTCGAGAGTTCCAATAGAGAAGGATGGACCTCGCTCGAGGTCCAAGGGTTTGCCCTTATCAGCCAACGAGTAAGCAAGAAGCTTGCAAGGTCTTGACAGCGGCGATGTCTCGGAGTCGGAGCTCTCTGTGCTGAGGGCATTGGGCTCAGCAGCGATTTGCGTCGGCAGTCCGTCAGCGTTAGTGGCATCACCCTGTTCTATCTGTGCCGCTCGGGTCAGGTGTTGAACGTTGGAGGCTGTGGCCCCGAAGAGCACAACTCCATCAGCGAGGATGGCAGACCGTAGATTATCGGCCGCGCGATGGTACATTCTTGATAAACCGTCCGTCTGTGGCTTATGCTTGCGAGGCGGTGACGTAGCTTTCTGAGATCGTTGGTTGGAGTCAGGATCGACCTTGCGCATGGTGTTGTGCAGAGAGGAGCGTCTCGTTGCCGTTATAGTCATGCCTGGGGGACGTTTAATCGAGGGCCTTTGAGGTTGATCCTCCTTCGACAAGATAGGGTCGTCACTTGAGCAGCCTTCGATGAAGGTCGCCAGTCCGCGAACAATGCGCTCGCCTTTAAACCTGTCAACTCGGTCGCGTGCCCATTCTAAATGTTCAGTGATAGCTTGCGCAACACTCTGCATAAACTTCACATCCTCGATCGATAGTCCATCGCGTGGTTGTTCGTCTGAAACAGCATACGCTCCGACCTTGTATCCTTTTCGTGAGAAGATGGGTACGCCAGCGTAGAAGCGCACACCTGGTTCGGATTGGACATACACGCGCGACTTGAAGCGATCATCGAGGCGACAGTCGGGAACGACAAGGCCAGAGGCCGTGTATGTTTTACCATCGGGATCGCGACCGATGCATGTATTGTGTAGGCAGTGTTCGCAAACGGCTTCTGGGCGGGAGAGAATGGAAGTTCCCACTGCAAGTAATTAGCCATGAAGACAAGGAAGAGCTGTGATTGTCTCAACTATAGAGATCGTCCAACCTACACCACAAGTCACTGTTATATTCGGTTATGTTGGAGTCTTTCTTGTCGTCGGTCTTGTTTGCACCAGGTTCTTCTTCGAGTGATCCCAATCGCAGATTTCGCGTGGCTTCGGCGAGAATGTATTGATGAGAAGAATCGATGAGTGAAACCATACAACGCTTCACGTTGAGACGAAAGACAGCGAGTTGCGCAAAAGCCGAGAGCGCTTTGTCGGAAGAGGGCTGAGGCGTGTGTGCGTCATTGATCTGAGATGGCGCGCTGATGCTGTCGACACTTCTGGCGACCTTGAGAGAGGAACCCTGGGCTATCTGCCAGCTCTGAAAGTAACCCTGCACCTCGCGTTCGCGTTGCAGCTCTGCAGAGCTCGACATTGTATCGTGGTATGAGAAGTCATGTCATGTCTTAGGTTGGTTTATTCGTGGGGATGATGTTGGAGAACGGACTGTCCAGGGACTGGAGGTAGGTGGTAGCCGCAAAATTTGGGTGGTCCCCCCTCTGTGAACCTGGTGCTCATTGCGTCATAGTTGCCTCCAACGTCACCTGGAAACGGTCCGTGAACTTGGGGTTAGGCGATTCTAGAATAGGCGCATCGCCCCAGAAATCGAGAATTCGCCTTCTTGTTGGCCAGTCTCTTTCATCTGAACCCGAAAATGAGGTCACGCCAGGCACCGTCACCAAAATAACAAGGCTAGAGGTCGATTAGCGGTGACCAAGAGATTTCCGAATGTGATTCAGCCATCTTGTCTTTCCCACAAAGTTCCAGGTTCCACGTGCTACTGTGCCTGTCTCGATTGAGCTTTTCCTTGTTTGTTCAATTCATGCATTCCTTGCCGAGTCAAGCTTTGCCAAGCGACAGGTTGGCTGGTTGCGGGGAAGAAGCCTTCTTTATATGAGAATACAGTTAGAAGCTCAATCTCCAATATCGTGGGAACAATCGCATCGGCAAAGTTTAGATCCGCCCGGTGCAAGCAATTGAAAGCAGTCGGCAACTTCGTACTCCGAAAACTCCGACCCCCAATTGCCAATTCAGGAAACTACATCAAAAGTCCCTGGAGAATCCTCCTTGGAGATAATGATGAGCCATCTCCATTCGACGATAATGCAGCATGTAACCCAAAAATCCTACAGCGAGTAGTCCCAGTTAATCAGCACTTTATTCGCCAAGCGGATAAATAGACCGTCATATCGCAATGTGTTTTCGCTTTCTGTAAGCAACTGTTTGTTCATCGATTATTTCCCTTCAAAGGATCATCATCCTCAACGACCAAGATGGCGTCCACCACTACTCACACTGCACGATCAATCCTTGAGTCATTCTACGAAGCTGAGCGCATTTACATGGCTTCGCCACCTGAACAACGCGACTTTAGCGGTATGGCAGCAACACTCTCAAAAGAAGTTCGCCTCAAACAATCATCTGGACTACCCTACGCTGGCGAATACTCTGGACCTGATGGGTTCCAGCAATGGGCGAAAGCAATGGCCGACTACTTTGACAAAGTCGATGTCCAGAACCCTGAAATATTCGAAAAGGAGGGCTCGAACCGCATCATCTCGCTCGGTTACTTGCATCTCAAGGTCCGCAAGACTGGGCAGGAATTGAAGTATCCTCTGTGCCAGGTCATCCAGGTTGATCTTGAGGCTGGGCTTATCAAGAGTATCATGCCCTTCTACTGGGATGTGTATGCTTTGAACAAGGCTATTGGTTATACACCAGAGCTGTAGATCTCAGGCAGCTGAACCGAGTCTGTTAATCAACACGACAGCGATCGAGCCAAACTTTGGCTCGATTATCGCAAGGGGTGAGAGTAGCAAAATAAATATCAAAGTCAAATATTTCTGCCCCGACGTCTTGTTTCTTGGCTACGGCTTCTGGATGTTGCATAAGTCTGCCAATTCATGACAGGGAACCTAGGGCGAAAAGTTGAGTTAACATGTGAAGGTGTGAAGCTGATGCGAGTTGCGCTATATATAGCCTGTATAGCAATATAGTTACATTGCATAGTGAATTCAGAAACAGAAGAGAAACTACTGATGATCTGCAATAATCTTATCACAGTATTCCGCAAACTCAGCCGCAGTCCCCGTTCCTCCCTGCTCTTTCGACTTGAGATTCTCCAACAAGTCAGCCCTCGGGCTTGGATGAAAGCGACCCCAAGGCAAGACAAACCTCCCTCCATCCTCAATCTGCAAATCCGGGGAGAGACCAGACCATAGGTTGGTATAAGCGCCGAACTTGGCATGATAAAGAAGCGGCGAAACGATATAGCCAACAATCGACGGCATGTGGCGAAGCAGGTTACTGTGGACATTTCCAGGATTGTGACAAACGCTGAGAATACCATGAGAGCCAATCTGATCTGCTAGAACGCTGGAGAGATACCAGTTTCCTGTCTTTGAATTCGTGTAGTTGACTTGCTGGTCTTTGGATGGGTTGATGACTTCTTCCATCTTGACTCCACCGTTTGGAACAGAGAGATCTGTGACGATGGAGGCCGTCCAGACTACTCGAACTGATGCTGGCGGCTGGCTCTTTGCCGTTTCTTTTAGAATTGGTACGAGAAGCTGCGTGAGATACCAAGGCCCGATGGCGTTCGTTGCCATGCTGAGTTCATATCCTTGCGCTGAGACCGAACCAGCTGGAGGGTTAGATACTCCTGCGTTGTTGAAAAGGACATCGAGCCTGGACTCTCTCGACTTGAAATCTTCTGCCGCTGTTTTTATGGAGTCCAGGTCATCGAGGGCTATCTTCAGAAAACTCAGGCTGCCGCTTGCACCGGGATATTGTTCCTTGAGTTGTTTGATAGATGACTCTGCTTTCTCTTGTGATCTTCCAGCGATGTAAACGGATCCACCAGCTTGATAAAGCATACGGCTCAATTCGAAGCCCACGCCGGAGTAGCCGCCTGTCACAATGAAGACGCGTCCATTCTGCGCGGTGAGGTCCTCCTCCGTAAACTGTGGATTTGGGGGAAAGAATAAAGAATACGTATTGCCCATTGTAATTATTCGTCTCAGATACTAACTATTAGTGAGCAATGATCTTGGCGGCTTCGTTGAGAGCGGGGATAGACTAAGTGAGTGTGACGTGCCCGAATTTGGGGGCGTTGGTTGAGGTGACGAATGCTCTATGCACGCGGCCCTATCAACGTCAAGCTGTGCCTCGCCTTTCACACTCTGGTACAAGCCTAGCGTTCATAGCGTAACATATCGATCTTCCATTCTTATCACTATTTTATGCAGCCCATATATCTCTACCCTCACATTCTTGCGGCCAACATCTCCACGATATGCGAAGTCAATCTCTCAGTCATCTTCAGCCCGGGATCATGATCTGGGTTAACCTCCGCCACAGTGAGACCTCCAACCTTTTCACTTCCAAGTAGTACCTTGAGAGCTCTCATCATATTCTCAAACTCCACGCCAGTAAAGTTGGGAACATTCGCCAAAGGAAACGTCCCAGGATCAATCGAGTCAACATCTAAATGAACCATAATTATATCGACTTTGTCTTGCAGAAACTCAAGTGTTTCTTTTGCGCGTTGCTCAGGATCTTTCGCCACGGATGCTGAGCTGACGACTTTGAAGTTACTGTCGAAAAGATACTTGAAGTGCTCTGGTTTGTTCCCAGGAAGAGACATGTTCGTGCCGAAGAAAACAGTATTCGAAGCATCACAGACAGGTTCGCCTGATGGACGAGAGAACTGCTCCATGCGTGGAAGCGCACCAGGCAACCGAACCAGATGTGCCATATTCATCCCAGCAAAGGTGCCAATAGAGCTTGGATCCGTAGGAGAGGTAAGGTCGGTATCAGCGTCGATATAAATCAGACCAATACGTTTAGGCTGAGACTGCGCGTCGGCATGTTTCCAGAAGGCAGAGAGGATAGCTGGCAGCATACAGCACTCGCCGCCGAGAATTAGCTGGAAATCAGGTTGGCCAGTCGAAGCTCTGAAGTTATTGCCGATGGTCCGCTCAACGTTCTCGCAGACCGAGATATTGATGTCTTCATTGCGCGCACTGCCTGCGCTGAAAGCCGTAGCAGAGAATGTTGCTGGTGCCTTAAGAGCTTGATGTTCAGAGACAGATGGTACACCAGCGTCTCTTAATTTGCCAACGATTCCGACGTCTCTGAAGGCCTGGGCCGCTTTGGATTTGCCCGGAATGATTGATCCACAGTCCGCAGGGACATAAGTGATTGAGACTGATCGCGATGCTGCCATAGTGTATCAAGTGACGTTCGTAGAATGTTGTGTTGGTGTTGCTGCGAAATGTCTAATATTTTATATCCACTTAATTAATGTCAATTGAAAGGCGCAAGACAGACCGAGTTAGTTTTATCATGGAAAGACTTTCCCTTTGAGCTTCATCTTACCCCATTTCGATGTGACGTAGTTTTGTCAGCCATAGGGCGCAAACCAAGAAATTTTGAACCCCGATGAGATACAATCAGCACTAACTGATATGAAAAATCGAAAGGGGAAACACATACCCTTTTTTGGACTTTTAGAATAGTGCGATGATGAGTAGATAGATCTATCAATCATCTGCTTCACACATAGGCAAATCGATTAGTGATGCAACACACGAAGAGATAGGCGTGACAGTTAAATAGCGTGAACTTTTGTTGATAAGAGTAATTATATACAAAGAAGACCATTGGCCATAGACACTAACCCAAGATGCCTCCCCGTGATATCATGATGATGAATTGAGCTTATATAGCTATCGGTCTATCCGAAAAGCTTCATGCTCATAGTGCGCGCAATGTAGCTATACCAAAGAGAAATACCTTTAAACAGCGAGGCTAGCAAGGAGGCCAGTGACGGGAAGGAGTACGGGAGCGAGAATGCCGTTGCCGAGACCAGCAAGGAGAGGAGTAAGACCGGCAACCAGACCAGGAACAATGGCGGAAATGAGGCCAATGACAAGGACGAGAACCTTGGTAAGGATCTGGAAGACGGAGTGGAGGATGGAAATGAGCTGAGGTCGGAGGCCAGTAACAGTGACGATGGTCTTGACAGCAGTGAGAACCTCAGAGACGAGGACGACAACGAGGTTGAGGACAGTGTCAACATCAGCATCGGCAACATCGAGACCAGCATCACCGGTGAGCTTGGTGACAATCTCAGTGAGCTCGAAGTGAACAGACTCAAAGCCAGGGATGGCCTTGGTAGCACCAGCGTCCTTGGTAAGATCACCAGCCTTGACCTTCTCAGCAATAGAGTCTAAACCCATTAGCACCAACCCAAATATCAAACTCAAAGGTCATTACTTACTCAGACCAGTGGTCTTCTTGTTGATGTTGCTAACACCGCTCTTGAGAACGGTGATGAGCTCCTGGGGGTTGGAGATAGCAGCACGCTTAGCAGGAGACTTGGTAGCCTTGTCAACGATCTGCTTCACGCCAACCTTGTCGACGATGTTCTCAGTGCTATGAAAAGCACCGTTGACCTGCTCAACAGAGCGGGTGTCCTTCTGAACCCCAGGAACAGGGGAGGCGATGGCCGAGATGGCGAGGGCGAAAACGGAGAAGAAAGTGGCCTTCATTTTGAATGTGGTGAAAAAGAAAACTGAAAGAGTGTTTTTTTAAAGGAGTGTGGTGTAGAGAAGAGTTGAGATGAGATGAGATGATTATGAGAATATGTTTGATGGGGTGAAGAGAGGTCTTATACAGAGGCATTCTGCAAAGGGAATATCCAAGAAAGAGATTGATATTGTCACCGGAAGTCAGTAGTCTTGTCGATCATTCTGTAAACGGAGTCATGATAGTTAGTGTGGTGTTGAGCCCACCAGGGAGCTGACGGCATCATAGATTCAGGCAAGATCCACGCCTTATGGGGCTCTGGGTGATTTCGACACTTGTATAGCAATCAAGACGTCGACGTTACCCTGGGCCTTTGTATTATTCTGACTTTACAGCTAATCGTCCTTCCAGTTTGTGTTTTGAGCTCTGAATATCATCAGACCTAATTGCAACTTCTGATTAGCGTAAGACGCTACTAGATGCCACAGACATGACAGCAAAGTGTTATCATCACCTCTCAAACAAAACATCTCAGCCATTTTCTCTAACTCTCTACGTCACTTTCCCCTTGTAGTCCCTATTTTTCGGAAATTTTGTCTCATCCAACTGTGGAGAGCTGGTTTAGCCTTACGCAGCCCGGTAGTGTCGATCTTAGCCGCACTGAGCAGAGCAGGCCCCTCCCCTTATGTTTCGATCTGCATCACTGACTTATGCTGGTGAAATTGCAGCATTTCGGTCCAGTGGAATCGACGATCTTTGACTTGTTTTGCAGGATCCAATCGCCGCTACTGCAGGAGTCTCAACACCTTTGCTTATGCGATTTCTTTTGCTTTTTGGCTGTGGTTTGATAGAGCAAGACGTGGATCAGGGAGAGCTGGAAATGGAGGACGTTTTGGTACCTGGTTGATAGTTCGTGGATTGCTACTTGAGACACAGATTAGGAACATGCCACTATCCTTGTGTTGTGACGAATTATGCCAAGTCTCCCTATACTCCTGCTTTGTATATATTTCTCCTAAACAGTAGCCTCAGTAGGCCTCCCACTGATCTACCGGAAGCCAGATTTAGCCCCACGTGCCCTTGGCTGATCGGCATTTCGTAGATCGTCACCGGGAGCTTGGTTGGACTGGAATGGAGAATGGGAGATAAGCTCTACCATACTCTGGGTATAGTTGCTGCTGATCTTGTGCTAAAGATGTCGCTCTCACTTTTCCTTACTATATGAATCGAAAAAGGAGGACACTGCCCAGTTGCAATGGGCCTTGGTCATGACGACAGTTGCATTACGGGTTGCTACCAAGGAACTGGATGCCGGAACTGAGATTGCCGAGATAGGATTTATGCGAGGATTGCGTGAGTAAAGGTGAGGGTCGAGTTCCACTGATTTCGACTCAAATGCAGCAGTTCAACCAGCCACTTTGTTGCAAGTTGGTATGCATACTCCGTAGTAAGTATTCAGGACAGTGAATGGGCATATATACATTCTTTGTCTCCAAGTTCCTGATATGCTCATACGTGATCTCTTCAGTGTCTTGGACAACTCCTGAATATACCTACCTATATGAAAGTACAGTTTGACGCATCCGTGACCCAAAAACATAACCTGGGGCGACAAGTGGAACAATTGGAAGTTGTCATAACTGGAAGATTCTTCCAGGACAGGCCGCTAAATTTTTCAGTGGACACGCACAAGAGACGAGGCTAGTAGTCTCACGGACCTGTACAAAAAACAATGACCCACGATATGCCTTTAGCGTGTGGAGTTTGTCTGAAAACCAACTCCTTCTCGACCACTGTAGATTTGTGTAAAGTCAGACTACTCAAATATCAATCCAGCGGATCTTCCGAATAGTCCCACAGTGTTTCTAGATGCTCAGCGCCTTCGGGAATGCGGCTTCAGTTGGTTATTCGATCAACAACATGGAGTCTATTGCTTGTCGTGATGAGATGAGATTTAATCAACAGGGAAAAAAGAGGATAAAGACCTTTATGTCCTTGAACCCCACGAATGGGAAAAAAAAAAGTCCATAAAGTGGTAATTCAAGTTGACAAATCTAAGCCCCTAAGTCGAGTACTGGGATAGTCTATGAACAGTTAGCAAATTCTCGCAAAATAGCCATCTCAACCAAAATTTGAGACTTACTCAATCAAATTACCGTCAGGGTCACGGACATAAATGCTCCTGATCCCTCCCATAGCCCCCGTTCTCCCAACAACCTTTCCCCCTTCCAGAACCTTTATACCCTCCTTCTCGAACCCCTCAATCAAGCCCTGCAGATCTGTCCCATCCTCAATAATAAAGCATAGATCAGCAGTACCAGGCAACGCAGTTCTCGCCTTCGGTTCAAACTCTTTACCGCGCTGATGAAGATTGATCTTGTGAGTGCCGAATTTCAAGGCGCTGCGAGGTGGAGACGAGGGGTCGGTTGCTGATGTGAAGGTCTCGGACTTCATGCCGAGATATTTAGTGTACCATTCTATAGTGGCAGAGATGTCATTGCATGTTAGGACGAGGTGGTCGATGTCTTTTACTACGGCGAACGAGGACATTGTGAAGATTGATGTTGAGTGTTTGGAGGTTGGAAGTGCTTGATCATTACGCAATGCCTTTTATGAATGTGGGGTACGGCGTTGTGTTGGAGAGACCGAGATGCCTCGGGGATGGCTGAGAACTGGCCGACGGAAGTGAACCACCGATGAAAGAAATAGATTTCCAGTCAATCTCTGTCAATCATTACTAAAATGGGTTCAAATTGAATGCGAAAAGCCCTCGGTTTTCAAACCTTGGCCAGCACAGTATCCCACTTCGCCTTTGGTTCAGCATCTTCATCCTTATCCTCGTCCATATCCTCATCCTCCTCCTCTTCATCCTCAGAGGCCGCATCCCAAGGGCACCAATTCACAGATCCAGATTGTTTATCAAAGAAACACCACTTCCCCCGTCTCGCTTCACATTCGATCCCGCGGTCCTTCAGAAATTGCATAAACTTGCCCGCAGGGAAATCCAAAAACGGCGTACCATCTTCTTCCAAGCCAGCGACTATACCATACAGATACACCTGCTTCAAGCATAGCTGGCTCGTCTCAGAAGATAAAACGGTTTGGACCATCTCAAGAAGTATCTCGCTTGCATGAGACCATGCCATTTCGTCCATCCACGTGTCTTCGCTGTAACCGTCTCCTTCGATATAATCAGCCGCTGGTCTCTGTTCCAGAACCAAGGTCTCGAGTGTTTTCATAGAAGCCAGTAGAATTCTAAGCCAATCCTCGTAGCAAGCTGACTCGGCGCGTTTTGACCAGCTATAAGTTGCGAAGTCGTTCGAAGAGCATGACTCTGCCGGCTGACCGAGAAGCAAATGCTTTAGTTTCGGTAACTTTAACTTGTAGTTGCCATAGTCTGTAAAAATGTTCCCCAAGGGCCTAGGGATGATCATGTCATCGACTAGACTTCCATAATCTGACTCGGAAACACTTCCATCATCTGTATTTATCTTCTCACATGGAAGAGGAGTAAAGTGAGGATTGTTCGATAGGCATGTTGAGATAGGACGGTCTAACATGTCGAGTTCAAGGCGTTCTAGAGTATCTCCCGCTCTAAGAAGCCACGCTGGTACTTCTGGTGGCATGTAGCCCGAGAGCTTGAGGAATCGGAGTTTCGGAGGAGATTCAATAATTTTAGGAACTTGCTCCTCAGTC